CAGCCCCCCGCCTCCCCAGGTCCCCCAGCGCCGGGGGACCCCCCCCCTCACCCCGGGACGCCTCACCCAGGACCTCAAGCTCATCTCAGCCTCGCAGCCCGCCCTCCCCCAAGACGGGGCGCAGACTCTCCGCAGAGCCTCCCCGCACTCCTCGGGGGAGTCGGTGGCCGCCTTCCCCCTCTTCCCCCGGGGGGCCGAGGGGGGCAGCGGGAGGCCCCATGGTGCCAGCCCCGGCCAGCATGTCACTCTGCCTCGGAAGACATCCTCAGGTTCTCTGCCACCCCCTCTTTCTTTGTTCGGGGCAAGAGCTGGCTCTTCTGGGGGGCCCCCTCTGACTGCTGCACCCCAGAGGGAAGCTGGGACCAGGTCTGAGCCTGCGCGCTCCAAACTGCCGTCGAACCTATGAGCCAGCCGGGCCCTCCCTCCCTCCCCCCCTCCCTCCCTCTTTTCTTCCTGCAGGTTTAACTGTGATTAGGAGAGATACCAATAACAATAATAATTATCATTAAAAACAAACACCCCCAGAACATCCCAGACAACAAAAGACAGCAGAAAATAACCAGGCATTCCTAGAGCCGCAGATTTTTGGTCCCTTGCTTTTCTAGACAATTTTAATACTCTTCACTAGAGGGAGGGAGGGAGGGAGGGAGGGAGGCTGGAGGAAAAGCAGATAAGGCTCCAAGGCAAATTTAAAAAAACAAAAAGAGAAAAGCAGGCGGGGGGCCTCTGAGAGGGGGTGCAGGTGATTATTTGGGGGTACCTGGAGCAGGTGTGTCATTGTATTGGTTTTGGAGCGAGTAGCTTACCCCTGTGAACTTGGGAGGCCATTCTGCTGGGGAGTCCCCCCCCTCGCCCATCCCCAGAGGTGGGGGTGGGGGCACCCCCTATGCCCAGGCCTCTGAGGGCCTTGCATTTTTCTCTACTGTAACGTAGCAAGCTATGTATCTGAATCTCTATGTACCGGTCTGTAGGATGTGAATATGTATAGCTATGTAGCGCTCCGCAGAGCCATGTAGATAGCAGTTTCACATGCGTGCGTGCGTGCGTGAGTGTGTGTACGTGTGTGTGCGCCATCTCGTTTTAACCCCAGGACACCAGGTCACCTTACATCCAGCAATCGGTATGGCCCACAGGCCGGGCGCTGCAGAGTATGGGGAAAACGGGGGGACTGAGCACCCCTCTCTTCCCACTCCCCCCCCCCCCCCGTCCCCATCCCTGGGCACAAATCCTGACCCAGCCCGACCTCTTACCACATGGAGGCAGAAGCTTCTGGGTGAGCCTCTCGCTTCCCAGGGGTCTCAAGCACACCCCATCACCTCCGTGGACACCTCCAGGGTCCCTGGTGGTCCAGCTCCACAGTGGGAGGCGAGGCGGACACCCATTTACTGAGTCTGTTCTGTTCTGTGCCAAGCACTGGTCTAGCACTTTATACCCGTGAGCCCCTCCCGACTCACGCACTGTGAGGCAGGGACCCCCACGGGTCTCCCATTTCACAGATGAGGTGAACGGGTTCGAGTCTCCAGAATCCCGCGAAGGAAGGCGTGGCCACAAGTTCAGCCTGAGAGGGCTGAGTGTGATGGGCCGAGGGTTAACAGTGCAGAGCCGCGGTCCAACAGCGCGGGCGTGGGTTCAAGTCTCAGCCGGCCACTTCTTAGCTGTGTGACTTTGGGCAAGTCATCTCACCTGTGACCTCATTTGTAAAATGAGAACAACGGGGTACTGCCTCACAATGATCTATGAGGACCATATATATTATATATACATATATAATATATATATACACACACATATATACATATGTATATGTGAAATGCCCAGCCCAGCTCCTGGCACACAACATAGTAGGTGCTCAATAAATCACCTTCCTTCTGCACTCAGACCACGACATGACTTCACTGGTCTCTGGTGAGGACCCAGGGAGCTTTTGGTGGATGATGGCTCCAGGAGACAAAAATCTCAGGACTCCAGAATGCGGCTGCGCCTCCTTTTTGAGGGGTGGGGGGTCAGAGGAAAGGGGTGTGGCCACTGGTGGGCTTACGCTAGAACTAGAGAAGTGGGGAAGATGGAGAGGGAGGGGAAAGATGGGGAGTTGGTGGCGGGGGGGGGGCACTAAGAGGGATGTTCACTGAGGCGCATGTGGAATTGCAGGGCTTCGAGGCAGGGAAGCCACAGGCTGGTCTGGGGGCCCAGAGATGGGATCTGGGTGGACAGGTTTGGGGTGATTAGAAAGGAAACACCTATAGGATCCTGGCTGAGCCGTGATCGAGATCCGCCATTACCTAGAAGGACAGGGGCAGGGAGGGCCGGCAGACCTAAGAAACAAGGGCCCGGCCATGCCTGGTCTGTGCAGAACGCCCCATGGTTGGCAGAATGGTGGTGCGGTGGGGTTTGGCTCTGAGCTGCCCTGGGCTGGGAAGCAGGGCCATCGGCAGTGGGGCTGGAAGCATTAACCCAAGAAAGAAGGGGCAAAGGTCCTGGGGCCCTCCATGCCTTCTGATCTGGAGAAGCTGCTCAGGTGCAGAGTCCTCAGAGCTAGGATTTAAACCGCGCCGCCGTGTGCATCCCCTTCCCCTGGAATGCAGCTCAGAGGAGACTGCAGGAGTCCAGCCCACAGCCCGGCCCTGGAGCAGGAGGAGCCAGCAGGGCCCTGGCCTAGCTGCACTTTTCCACTCAACATTTTATAAGAGACTCTGGGGGGGGGGGGCTTCTTGGCCACAGTGGAGAGGCCGGGGTCAGGGGGGCCCTTCTGTCCCCAGCACCCAACAAGCAATTTTCAAATCTTCCACTTTTAACACAGAAAACGGCCACATGTGCCGTGGTGTATATTTTATTTAAATAAAAAAAAATTCCAGCAAGTGCTGCCTTCTTCTAGGGGGCTGGGGAAGGGTGTGTGTGTGTGTGTGTGTGTCTGTGTGTGTGTGTGTGTGTGTGTGTGTGTGTGTAGATGGGGAGTTGAGGTTAATGGGGATCCTGGCAGTGGATGCCCGTGGCTGGAAAAGCAGAGTCCTCCAGCTCCTGGCATCCTGGGGAGGGGAAAGTCCTCAGCAAAGGTCAGGAAACCCGGCCAGTGTTTCCCCCATCACGGCTCACCAAGGCTGTTTCCATGGTAACTGGCCTGGGAGTCCGGTTGCTAGGGAGAGGCAGCTCAGCGGGCCCGAGGCTCTCCATGGTGACTGCCCCCCTGTGGCCAGGTGGCGGTGGTGCTGCTTCCTTGGGACCCCGGTGGGCGTGCGGGCTCAGGCAAGCCCAGGCTCTGCACTGCAGGGGCAGCCTTGGACTGGAGGGCAGTCACAGCTTCTGGGTTGGGTGGGCAGAGGTATGTGGGCAGGGGGGTAGCCTGTTGAGACAAGGTCTGGGGAACAGGTACCGACTGCCGCTCCGTCTTTGTACTTTCTTTCCTGACTCCAAAGAGCAATTGTCTATTAGCTTTTCTTTTTCTTTTTTTTTTTGCCAGTCTTAGGGCTTGAACTCAGGGCCTGAGCACTGTCCCTGAGCTTCTTTTGCTCAAAGCTAGCATTTGAGCCACAGCGCCACTTCCAGCTTTTTCTGTGTATGTGGTACTGAGGAATCGAACCCAGGGCTTCATGCATGCTAGGCAAGCACTCTACCACTAAGCCACCTTCCCAGCCCCTCCTGCATATTTCAACTGCCTCACAAGTCTTTAAGGTCGGAAGAAGGCTTAGTTACAGAGAGTCAATAGATCTGGGGGCCACAGGCAGGGCAGGAACTTACCCACCCCATCAGCTAGAGGAGAAGGAGGTTGGCTGCATCTTCCAGGTCTGGAAACTCAAACTCTGTCTCTTCCCGTTGGAAGCAAAGGCCAGGTGGGAGGAGCCATTGTACCCAGTGGCAGACAAGATAGGGTGTCGTGTCTGCAGAGAATTAAAAACAAAAGAGAAGAAGGAATGGTCAACAGTGTGGTTTTCCTTACAATCTCAGCTGGAAAACGTGGCTGGCAAGCTGGCGGGACAGCCTGAGTTGCTCTTCTGCTTCAGTGGGACTGAACCCTGTGAAGGATTTCAAAAGAGTTTTCTTTTTCATCTGTTATGGGACTTGAATTCAAGGCCTGGGTGCTGTCTCTGAGCTCTTCCTCTCAAGGCTAGCGCTTTACCACTTGAACCACACAGCTCCATTTCTGGCTTTCTGGTGGTTTACTGGAGATGAGTCTCAAGGACGTTCCTGCCTGGGCTGGCTTGGAACCATGAGCATCAGATCTCAGCCTCTTGATTAGCTAAGATGACAGGTGTGAGCCCCAGGCACTGGGTTAAAAGGTTTTTGGGGGTGGGGGTGGGGGGAGTATTGGGGAATGAATTTACAGCCTGCAGCTTATTGGGCAGGTGCTCTACCACTTGAGCCATGCCTCCAAGCCCTCAGAAGAAAAAGAATCCCTTTGCTGGTACCCACTTCTCTTGCCTGCCCCTTGCTCATCCTCCCCCCCCCCCATCTCCCCTGCCATCCCTGGAAGTGACTTTTCCTCCTTGCCAATCTGGCTTCCCTTTTTCTCCTCTAGAACAGCTCACGGTGGCAGAGCCCAGGGCTGCTGTTTCCCTGGTCTCAGGTGTGTTAGGCAGGCCTGCCGTCCGGGCCCCCCTTGGCTTTGCCGTCTCTGACCTCTCCTCTCTATTCAACCCTGGCTTTAAGGGCTCTTCTTCCTCTCCCAAAGGTTGGTGCTCCTTGGCCTTGAGCCCTATCTTGTAACTCCCCTGGGGGATGACCTCACCCATGCCCAGGGCTTCTGCTGGGCCTGGAGGGGGGGGGGGAAGCTTCCCTGACTTCTCCATTTCCTCCAGGTCCCCAGATCCCCCAGCTTTCCAGGGGATCAGCCTGCTCTGATGAAGCAGGCTAGCCTCACCTTCTCTGCTGCGCGGAGCAGCTACTGCACATGCCCGCCAACCCTTGGCTTCCTCCATCTCCTTCAAGGTGGAATATTTCATATAGGCAGGAGACGTAGCACATAAAAAAATGACATTAAAAGAGATAAGCAGCTAGGTGCCACTCAGTTGAAGAAATGACATGAGGCTTATCATTTTTGTTGTTTTTGGTGGGGGGGGGCTTGAACTCTGGGCCTGGGCATTGTCCTGAGCTCTTCAGCTCATGGTGATCGTTTTACCACCTCAGCCACAGAGCCACTTCCGGTTTTCTGAGTGGTTTATTGGAGATGAGTCTCACGGACTTTCCTGCCCGGGCTGGCTCTGAACTGTGATCCTCAGATCTCAGCCCCGCTGAGTAGCTAGGATCACAGGCGTGAGCCACTGGCGCCTGGTATGAGCCCTATCTTTGAAGGCCTCTAACACTCGCCTAGCTTTGTACCTCTTAGGAAAACCACTCATCTGAGTTTTGTTTCTGTTTTTGTGCCAGTACTGGGGTTTGAACTCAGGGTCTCACAATCTCCCTGGTTTTTTTCTA